CCATTTACTTACGTAAATTTTCTTTTTACAGAACACATCTAAATGCTGTGACAGTTGTATTTAAGATCCCAGAACTTGACAGAATTGTGCTACTAATACATAACACCCACAATAACAGACTAATGGAATGCATATAATGGAAATTAAATTTCAACATTAATTTTATAATAAAATACACAGGCATTCAGCCAGTTTGAGCAGATCAATTAACACACTAATTTTAACATGATCCACTTTATCACAGATTATAACACAGAAGCATCATTCATTCATTTTCTGAGAGCCAGGACAACCCCAAGCTGTAACTCTTTATGTCACCACTCTCTCCAAAAAAACAATTCAGAAATAAAAGCAACAAAACAACAACGAATCAGCCGCAGCCTCCTACTCCTTCTGCTGCCAGAAATATTCTCATTATTAGCCCAGAACCAGAACTTCATTCAAGTTGACAGACACCACCTGCATTTTCCAGGTTTTGGAAATACAGATTTACTATATTAAGACCAGTGCTTTGTTGGGTTTGGTTTGGGTTTGTTTTTTTGTCGGTTTGCTGGGTTTGTTTTAGAAAATCTGCACGAGACACAGCATGTCAAATGTAAAGGTAAATTCCCCAAGTGATTTTAGTCTGGCTTTTGACCTTTCTGCTGCCTTAAGTCTCCTGAGTGCTGCCTGCACCATCCCCAAAGGCCCAGAGAGGATGTCTGGCTCTGCACACACCTGGCAACAACAGCCAGTGGCCAAAAACAAACCTGGGCCAAGAGTTGACTCTCCCAAATATTTCCTTTCAAGAGACTGTGCTCTCCATATGTGTTCATTCACAGATGGTCTCTCCTTGTGCCATTTTTTTTTCACCTGTGATGCTCATGTCAGGAAGGAAACCCAAAATCAGTGACAAGCCAGGCTGATGCCTTTAGTTTTAAGTTTTCCTATTCTCCTTGGATGTGCTTTTCTGATGTGCTAGGGTGATGAAGACAAAACAGTCCTATTCCAGTTAAGAACTCAAGGACAATTTCTCCAGACCTCAGGCCCTAAGCACAAACTACGTGGAAAGGTGGAGGGTGGGTTCATGCAAATTAACCAGAACCTATAAAAGTGTAAGATTTTGTGACCAACCTCCTCCTTTCCTTCCATCTTGGAACCATCCAGGCAGGGGCCACCACTGTGGCACTTTTATTGCTAGGGTGTGGCTTTTGTAGGCCTCACAATAAATATCCATTTTATTCTCCTTAACTCTGTGTGTAGCCTCTGCTCCAGCTCCTCAAGGCAGCTCAGTCCCTCCCTGCACAGCTTCCTCCTTTTGACACATCACATTTCCTGGGGGCTTCAGACAGCAGCAGGAGGTGACTGGATGTCACATTTGGGGACCAAGTTCTATAACCTTCTTAAACACTTCTATAATAATATAAACAGTTACTAGTAAATAAATTAGAGAAAAGCTTTGGGACAGACATTCAAGGCTGGTATGGGAATGTTGTGGGACATTCTGGAATGCTGTGGAACACTCTGAAACATTGGGGAAGGCTTTGGAACATGATGCAGGATCCCTGAGATGCAGGAGGTCATTCTTGCTCCTGAAACAGCATTTAAATTTTTAGATTTTTATTGTAAAAGAAATTGTATGTTGCATTGCTACTATAGCATACCATGATTTTTCCTTTCCTGTCAAGTTTGTCTTCCCTCAAAATATCTCACTGGAATGAGAACATCACTCAGAATGATTCTCAGCTCATGGAATGAAATTTCTATTTCTCAAGTATTTCCCAGGCATGAGACATAAGATTTTGTAAAATTCTCTCATTTAACAAGTTAAATAATACTGCTGTTTTGTTTGAAATACTACTGGTGTAGCACCACAGCTAATTTTAACTTCAGTGACTTTTCTTAGAATGTCAAAATTGCATTTTTTTGAAACTTGACTTTGTTTTCCTTCTACCTTCTCATCTGATTTGAGCTGTCCTTCTCCCAAAAACATTTCCTGAAGCAAAACCAAGCCCATCTGAGTGCTTACAAATTTTGCAATCATTTCCTACTGTATCAACTGCAATAACGGTTGCAGATCAACCAGAACACTTGTGTCAAATATTTTTCCTTTCTCCTCCTAAAGAAACCCATCTACCACTCAAAACAAGAAAAACCTGCAAACCTGACACTTTCTTTGGCCATCATTTACCTTTTTTTTAATTACCTTTTTTTTTTTTAGCCCTTACTGCACTGCAATGCTAAATTACCAGATCAGTTTCAAGGCTTCCCAAAGACTCACGCTGCCTCTGCTTTGATTTCAAGCCATTCCTTCATTTTTCATTATCTTCTCCATTGATTTATCCTATTACTAAGCAGATTATTTAACACCATCTGCTTCAATGCCCAAAACATTTCCTTCACTATCTTATTCTTTGTCAAAACCTGGGTTTGGCAGTTAACAAGGCTCCAAAGTGCAAATAACTAAAAAAGATTTTTCACTGTGCAACTTCAACCTTTTTATGCTCTTCCATATGAGACAGCACAAGAGGTACCACCAGCAGGAAGTTCTGAAACTTTTGACTTAAATGGTTCTGCTGAGTAACCTTAAAAACATGGTTGCACAATAATCTGTCAAAACACTTCCAAGATAAAAGATCTCTAAAAGGCTGTCTCTAAAAGGCACATTAATGAGTTGCAGTTATAAATAAATACGATTTTTTAGATTTAAGCATTTGTAGCAAGGAAAACAGAAGCAGAAATTTCACTTTAAACCCCGAAGTTTTTTATATTTTGAAGACAGCACTGTCAAGGTGACAAAGGTGCTATGACAGGGGGGACAGTGCCTTTGCATGGGGATATTTGAGTCTGCAGAGCCAGACACAAACATCACCAGGACAAAGAGAAGGGGGTAATGATGGGCATCACTTCACCAGGCAGCTGGGGAGGATTTGAACTGTGTCCACTTCTTTACTGAATCATTACAGTGACTGCATCCTTCCCACAAGGGCTGGGACTTCCTCTGACAACATGGCACATTCAGAAAAAAACAGAAAAAAACCAAATCCTAGGTAAGGGGTTAGTGCACAGGAATTCAGAAAAAAGACCTCAAAAGATATCACTGTTCATGTACAGGTGCCTTTGCATTTGAGCAGCCCCAGAGAATCTAAGGAAATAATGTAAAAATACATCATTTAGAATAAAAATTTGTAATCTGACCATATTTTGCCAAACCATGTCCTACTTAAGCCTTGCAATAGGTCACCCATCCATCAGAACAGACTGGGGAGCAGCAGCTGAACAAAGCAAGCTCAGCTCCAGACTGGCATTTCCACTTAAATCTCAGCATTGCATAAGAACCTTCCAAGGGATCCACAGGGTTTGCTACTTCTCTCTCTAAACATTAATGCTGATAAATCAGCACTGCTAATGGCTATTCTGTGCTTTGGTTTGGGATTTTTAACACCTTCATTTATTTTCCACCTTCATATATTTTTATAGTATATTATGCATTTCTTCCAAGCTGTCTCCTAGTTAGGGAAGATGAAGTATGCATTCAATAATTTCATTAAGGCCATTTTTTTCAAGTAAATTAGGGGACTCTTTTACTTTTTTTTTTCTTGTTGTGGAAGTCTTTAATTTGCTCCTCTTGTATTTTATAGGAACCAAATTTGATGACCATGTATTTATTTCTTAAATTTACACTTAACAGGACTTTATTATCCAAGACTGAAACAACAACAAAAAAACCCCTGTCCAAAACACAGAGTATCAACTCATGAAGGAATTCAGGTTGGAAGGAACACCAGGAGGTCTTCTAACCCAATCTCAGACCAGCCTGCATAAGGCTTTGTGCAGTCAGGGAAACATTTCTGAACTGAGGACTATAAGCTACTGCATTTTTCTCAGTGTCTGTTAAAAAAATGACCAACGTAACTAACAAGCAGCAGGATACACAGAAAATAATTCATTAAGATGTAGTCACTGAATGGAGAAAACAGGATAAAAAAATAAATAAGCATTTCTTTATTTTTAATAAATAAGAATTGGGAACAAAAACAGCAAATGTTTTTATCAAAACATTTAAAGAGTATTTATGTTGTGCAAAAATTTGTGGAATATTTAATAACATGAACAATTATAAATTAAGAGTACAAACAGGACAGATTAAAGTAGTCTAATTGAGAAGAGATTTCTAAATAAGCAAGGTTTGGGGGTTTTTTTTAACCTTTCAATTTGCGAGCATTAATGACATAAAATCAGGAGGCTGTGTTATAATTGAACATTGAGTTGTTCTGTATAATCTCTTCAGAATATACAATAAATAACTCAATGAAGATTCAAATACAATTAAAAATGGGATAACTAAGGAATAAAGTTATATGGAGTTAGATATATGATTAAATTTAGTTACAAGCAGAAGACTTATCTATACCTATGTGCTCTTGAAACAGTATTATATGAGTTTGCTCTATTGCACTTATGAACACTCAGTCTCTGGAATTAAAGTTACAAAGGAACAAGTCCTGAGTTAACTGAAGCCAGGCATGGATCTACCAAATGCTGCAGTTACAGAGAACACATTTAAATGAGGATGAACAAAACTGTTTAAAAACAAAGTCTAAAAACCAAAGTAAAAAACATCTAAAAAAATTTATCAGAATTGACTGAATTTGTTTAAAGACCAGAAGTATAGGCTATGAATGTCCAGTGGCATAGAAACCTTTGGCATCTATTAAATTTTAAATTGCAAAAATCATTTCACAGAATTCTTTTGAAAGCGTTAGCCAGTGTGTCCTGTATTTCAAGAACTCATGAGATTTGGAGCTGTATGTTGAAAAGACAGAGGCAGCCCAGGCAGGTGGGTCTGGAGTGAGCACAGAGCAGAGCCTGACTCACGAGTTCAGGGTGTGATGTCACACCACCAGGACCTTCCCTACTGCAAGAAACAAAACGTGCTTCTGAAACACAGATCACAGAATGAAATCACTGTTTGAAGGCTGTGCATTGGTAAGCAGTTCAAAAAGCAGTAAAAGTGATACCTTGGCAGCCTTCAGCAAGATTTCCCTCTCTTGTTCATCTTTCCTTTGCTTTTCTAAACGCTCCAACTGTTCAAAGAACTTGAGCTGTGACCGGACATCTGTGGCTTGCTCGTACCATTCATCATCCTGTAAAGCAGGGACAGCCTTCAGAAAAACAGCCACGTCATCAACACCATGCATTTAAAGACTCTGGGTGTCACACATTAAAATATTTCCATTGTACTAAGAAAAAAAAAAAAAAGAAAATTTTAGGTTTTTTGAGGCTCGGGAGAATGAAGCCGGCCTATGGTTAATAATGCAATGAGAATCTGATAATTTAATTAATATCTAAGCAATTAAAAAAAAAAACAAGGATTGATTTATCAGCACCAGATACATAAAAGAGTTAAAAAAAGTAAAATCAACTGACTTAATGACAAAAACAGCTAAAATGCTTAACTTTATTACTGAATAATCCTAGCTAGAGTTTATAACCAGGCTCATAACCTATAATTCCTGCATTTGTGCTAATCTTGAACTAGTAACAGACTTTCCCAAGATGCAGCATTATAGAAGCATTAAAGCTCAAAACTCAGTTGAAAATAAGCCTCTAACTCCAATTAAAACAGAAGCTTATGACAACCAAGAGCATGCAGAAAACTAAGTTTTCCCAGCACACAGCAACCAGGAGAGTTTATGGCATGAGCCACATGGAGAAAACTCAGAATGTCAGTCAGAAAAGTAAGTTATCCACATTACTTTCATCCCATTTATCTGCTTAATGTTTTCCTTTCTGACTATCATGCTATGAAATTAAAGAATAGCATTAACCAAGAACAGTAAAGAAAACAATGACAATGCTACATTTCAATCAGAGACAACACTAATTTTTTTCCTAAGGATCTTTTAAGACATTGTTTTAAATGCTTCTTTGGCTCAACAGGGACTAAGCAAACTGTTTTCTTCTCAGACACCATCCTAGAGAGAAGGAATAGGGATTTAACACTTCTGAAGATGATAAAGAATACTGAAAAGAAACAAGGATATTTTACTTTTAATCCAATATAATAGAATATATCCATCAATTGCAATGACAGATTTAAGTGTAGGTATTAATCAGGAAGATTGGCCTTTATTTTTTTTAATCCATTTTTCTATCACAATGATGTTGGTTATAGTCACAGATTCCAGAGATGATTATTTTTGCAAATATCACATAGAATTAGTTCAACCATGACTCAAAGTCAATAGGGAAATAGGTGGGCTAAGACACAGTCCAAAGCTGTTTGACTAGACTGCCACTCCAGGAATACAAAAAAGTACACCACAAACCCAAGGAATAAACTAAACCAGAGCTATTCAATGTATATTTATGCTAAAGAGATCTAAACACAGCTTAGACAACACATAACTAGTTATTGCCATCTTCCTTTGACACCAGTTTAATAAATATAATAAATAACAAGCATCTTACTTCTACTGAAAAAGATATTTCAAACATATCAATAAAAACGTTTGATTCATTTGAATTTCAAACTGGTTTGTAGACCTTTATTTAAATTTCCCCCTGGTTTGAGATATTGAAATTGTTTCAATTATCTTCAGGAATACAATCACTAAGAAAAGAATCAGTATCATTTTAATGTAATTTTTTTTTTAATAGAAAACCATGTTTAATTACAGTAAAGAATTTACAGCTGAATTCTTTAGTTGCTAAGGCAGCTTTGGTAAAATATTAGTATTTCCCACATCCAGAAAAGTTACTATAGATTCCAAAATACCAAAGCAATTTGGATCCAATTCCTGGATACCCTGGACAAAAAGGAGCTCTCAGGAATCAAGTGTTGTCACAATCCACGAGCAGAAACAGCTCAGCACATGCTCCACGCCAGACACTTCAGCACAAGAAGACACAAACAATTCTAGCCCCAGACTGGCCCAGAGAGGAGGAGGAGGAGGAGGATGAGGAGGCAGATGCAGCAGCCAAAGCTGCAGCCCAGGGGAGCTGTGCTGGGCACTGCCAGCCCTGCTCGGGCCACACTTACTTTGTACGACTCCATCCGGTGCTGGGTTATCACTGTCACCTTCTCCAGCACTGCTCTTAATCTGTTCTGTGTTGCATGGGAAATAAAAGTAACCACCTCAGCTGGCACATCAGTAATTCCTAGTTTTTTAGCTAAAAACAAAACAAAACAAAACAGAATTAGCTTATCCCCCATAGAAAAAAACCAAAAACCTAAAACACAAACGAAGCTCTAAAGGACTTCACATCACAACTTTGTTTTCCTGAATAGAAAAATCCATGACAGCGTGTTTATGAGGTTCTGGTGACACATTCACGACACCCTGAAAAGGGTGTGACTCTACAGGTATAAAACAGAAATCAGAGAATTTCTTTAATACTTGAAAGCATTTAAGAACTTTGCTGAAGTTTAGCCTGGCACATTAAACCGAGGCATATCAGAGTATGAGACAACCTGAGTTCTCAGTTGTTCTACAAAACAAAAAACAATTCCTTTATTTTCAGAAGCATTAGTGCAGATGAATTTCAGTGTTGAGCAGGTGCAGTCCAAAGCATTCTGTTGCATCCTTTAGCCAACACCACTGGCATAGTATCAATAACAGAAATTCTTTAGGAAAAAAAAAAACCAACCTATTAATTGAAGGCAAAAAAATACAGTCACATTAAAAAGAGTTGTTTAGAAACACCAGCTGTCCCCCCCAACACGTATTCATGGTCACTTGACATTTGATACTTCGTGCTGAGTTTATAACAAAAGCAAACAATCTACAGTCAATGCATTTATATATTTAAAAAACGCCCAAGCTACAGAAAAAAAAGAATATGGGAAAAACTTGACTCCCAAATTAATCACAATAATTACTAAGTATTGGATATAAATTGGTAAGTAAATGAATATATGCATTTACTTAAACTACAGTCCTACAAAGGCATATGTGGTCCCGGCAGGGCAGTTTTCTGGATAGAAAACTCCCTGTGTGCACGCACAGATATTCCTATTTTACACAGGATAAAAACAGGTAGTTGTATTTTATATGGATCATTGGTGTTGACCCACCACAAAAGAATACACATGCTGAGTCAGTTTTCCATTGAATGGACACAAGAATTTCAAAAGCAGTTTGGCTGGGACACATGAATGGCTATGCAAACCACTACAGGAAACGTGTGACTTTCGGGAAGTGCTTCCTACAGAGCCAATTGCATGGGGAATCCTGGCCTGAGGAGCGGTCCCTTAGCAAAGGCGGCCTCGGCTGTACGAGAGCGAGTGTTTGCTTTGCGAGGTGTTCCTACCTTCCCCTGGCTCAATTCGAGAGCAAGAAACCATCCCACGTCTAAAAAATAATGTGCGAGAAGTGAGCGGGACAGCACCGGGATCGGAGCGGAGCCGCGGCCACAGAGAGCCGGCACCTGCCCCGACCGGCCCTTCTTCCCTGCCCTGGCCCCGATCCACCGGGATCTGCCCCTTCTTCCCTTTCCTTCCCCCCATCCACCGGGATCTGCCCCTTCTTCCCTTCCCCGGCCCCGATCCACCGGGATCTGCCCCTTCTTCCCTTTCCTTCCCCCGATCCACCGGGATCTGCCCCTTCTTCCCTTTCCCGGCCCCGATCCACCGGGATCTGCCCCTTCCTTCCTTCCTTCCTTCCCCTTGCCCCGTCCCGCCGGGCTGTGCCCATTCATTCCCTGCTGGCTGGACCTCAGCCCCCCCGCGCTCCCCAGCACAGTTCCCTACTGCAGCTATCGCCGCTGTTCATTTTAGGGATCCTTTGAAGTCCTTGCTTCTTCAAGTAACTTCATCACTGAGTCCCCATCTTACATGTTACCTTAAGGATTTCAGCAAGATGTATATATGATTTTTAAGTAATTTTTGCCTTATAATGGGGAAAAAAATAAATTAAACCTTTCTTGGTGCCCAATTTGGGCTGTGTAATAGAGCTGGAGCTGCGCTCAGGTTGCTGAAAGCTGAACATGTAATGGGAAGCAGACACACATTAAATCCCAATGCTGCAACTGCCACCCAGGCAAATGAAGTCCTTGAAGTTGGGAGGATGATTCCTATGGGCAGGAGCAATTCCTCCAAGTCAGACTGGCAATATCGAGGTCTATTTGAGCATGCATCATTTTATTATGCAAACACATGTAAGCAAAGCCATCAATCAGAAAACCCTAGTCTGAAAGATAAAATGCAAGTAAGAAGGGACATTTAATTAACTAGTATCCAGAAAAGAGGCTTGGAGATGGAAAATTCTGCCCTCTTCTAGGTAAGGATGAGAATGTGTAATTGTTAGAGTTCTTTGAATTTCAGTGTAGCTGAAATAGCTACCCAACTTCCCTGAAAACACACACGCTGCTTTTTAACAAGAACTGTTGCCACCTTGGTTTTTCACAATAAAGGTCTTTCTAATCTTAAAGAATTTTATTCTAAGTACAGTCAACCATTATATCACATTTCTTGTCCCTTTAACTCTTCAGAAATTCATCCATAATCAATGAATCAATAATCATTTTCTGAGATACCTGATGCCGTAAGATTCTTGTCCTTCATCAGCCTCTGCAATATCCCAGTAACTTTCTTCTCCTAAAATCCCTCAACACAATATTCCCAAGTCCAGAAAACTACCCAGAGGCCAGGCAGTCCCTCGGGAATGTGCCCTGGGACTTCTCCTTTTTGATGGGTGTCTCAGGGACCCCGGGGTGAGACACGAAGCCCCCTCACCAAGTGTGCAGATGGCACCACCCTGAGCAGTGCAGAGGGAAAGGATGGGAACTCCATGGAACTCCTGAAGGACAAGGGCAAAGGCCTGTGCTGGGCTGGACTCACTGGAATGCCAGGGGCTGGGGTCAGCAGCACACAGAGCCTGGAGCTCACAGGTTAGCCAGCTTCCAACCCTGGCACCCATGGGCTGTACCTACGGCAAAACAGAAAATCTATGGTAACCAGCCCACCAAGGGAAGCAACTAATCCTCCTCACTCAGCCCACAGCTACTGTCCTGCACATTTGGGTCACCTAGTACAAGAAAAGCTTGAAAAACTTGAACCCAGGAAAAAGTCAGGATGGTCATGGGGTTGCAGCACATGACCTACATGAGCAGAAAACGAGAGTTCTTTTTCCTGGAGCAAGAACACTTAAGGGAGAGTTTATTGAGAAGATGGAGCTGGACGTTTTATTAAGCTTGCCTGGAACAAGAATGAAAAATAAATTCATAAACTGAAACAGCTGTTTCTGACTGGATATAGGGAAGAATTCTTTCATGGAGACAAATAATGGAACACTTTGCACAAGCACGTTGTAGACTGTCCCACCTCTCAAGTTTTAAAGACTTGGCCAATTAATGCCATAACAACCCAGTCTAAACTGAATGTTGATCCAGCTTTGAGCAAGAGACTGGAGTGATTCAATGATCCCTGTCCCCCTGCATACGTGCTTCCATATTCCTCATTACTGCACAACACTGTGACACCTCTCCTACATCTCACATCATCCCCTGGCACATCTCCCAGTCCATATTTGTCCAGCTGAGCACAGTCAGAGACCCTGAGTCTGGCCAGTCTGTGCCAGAGAGCTCACTGGCAGCCAAGCAGGCAGAAGAGCAAAGAAAAGGAAAAAATGGGTTCATTTCCCCCTCGACTCAGACACACAGCTCCTGATTTATCAATTGACTCAAAAGTGACCTGAAGAGAAAGAAAGGCAAATGGAATATTCAACCACTTAAGGCTAAAATTCTTTGGAAAACAGGATAAGGGGAAAAGAATACAATTTCCCCCAAAATGAATTAGCATCAAGGAACCAGACTACAAAAAGATTTTTTAGAAGTCATCTTGTCATCCACATGATTCATCATGTGTGGAAGCATCATCACATCTTCCCTGCTCTAAATTACACTAGTTAAACCCTGTTAGCTTGGGATGTCAGAAGCAGGGTGCATTCCAAAGCTGCATACTACATGAAGATTTGGCACACTCCTTAAATACTTGGATTGTACTTGGGGCAAGGGTGGGAAAATTCCCGATTTCATCTGTGCTTGGAAATGCTGGCCTGGTTATACTTCATACACAGTTGCTCACACCACTGTGCTGAATCCCCTGAACTACAAGATGTTGTGATAACACTGCCTGTCCCTTGTTTGCTTTCTGCTACTCAGAAAAAATGCCAAATAGAAACTGAATCTAAGCACAGGGCTGGCAAATGTTCATTTTCATATGTTTCTATATTAAAGACTGAGTTTTGTTTTTTTCTTTTGACTGCCACTTCTCCTCTTGAGATCCACTCTCATTTATAAATTTTTTAAAATTCAAATGTACAAAATTTCATCCACTCTCATTTACAAAAAGCATACTGGAATCCTGTCTGCCATCAAAGGAAAAGAACACTTATCTGTAAATAGGAAATTCCTGACATATTCTTCTAGTCTGCTTAATTACTTTTCCCAGTGTTAATAAGAAAAGGCTTCTCTTCCCTTTTCAAGATTCCCTAGAGTGATAATGATGTGGGAACAGAAATATGATTTCTACTTTAAAGAAATGTATATATACAGATGTATATTCTAAAATACTGAACATGGTTAATTGTATCACAACACACAAATATCCTTGTTACTAATCATCTTTCCAACCAAATTACTGGACAGTGGACTTCATCTACTGATATTTCTATTTAGGCCCTAGCATTCTGAATTCCAGTCTTCATTGTACCATCTGATCTTTACAATATATACATTTAAATATGTGCAGAAACCAACAAGAAAATTAAGATTAAAAAAAAGGACTTACTTCTATCAACAGTGCTTTCCCCTGTCTTCTGTTTTTAAAAAGTTGACCTTCTTTCTCATTTTTAGGTGATCATCTCAATGAGAATTAAGTTTGATGATGTGGCAATCTTAACTTGCAGTCTTGCGATCAAAAGTATCATATGTGGAATTTGAAGAGTGTTGCTTGCTTTTAAATAATACATTTGTTAAATTTAGACATTTTGGATAACAAGTATATGCCTCAAGTCTTTAAAATTACTTTAGCAATTCTGAACTTTTCCTAGAGCTATGATAAAAATATCATCAAGGTTAACAACAGAAAAGGAGCTGGAGCAAAGCAATGCTCCAAGCCATAATTTTAACCCATCTCTCCAGTTGAATTCAAGTTTTGATATTTTTAAAGA